CTTTTTATACGGCATCAAATCTGCTTGAGGATTTAGACCACATTTTGCAACAGGATGCAGTAATTGGATTTTTGGAATTATAGGAACGTGTGCATTTACACACGCACACATCATTACTTATAATTTGTATAATCCCCTCTCTCTATGTATGTGTGTATGTATGATTGTTTGTTTTTTTAAAAAAAGGAAAATATAAGACCAATTCTATCACTTCTGGCCGCAGAATTACTTTTTTCACATTACGTTCACTATTTTTTTTCACAAAATAGTGGATATTTTTTTATTCAAAAGCTTTATGATGAAATGGTATGTAATCTAAAGATGTACAGTCTAAGAGAATAAGGATAGGAGAATCGCGTTTTGTCTTTTTTTTCATAAGTTAGAATGAGACAAAGATCGAATATTTTTTACTTTTTTTTTACTACTTAAACCCCCCCCCGCTTGTCCGCTATTTTTTGGAAGCAGACCTGGCAACCCTAAGAACTAGCCCAGATTTACTAAAAAGCTCAACTCCTGGGAAGATAGTGAAAACTGCCTTGATTAATTGAGGAAGATCCCAATCGGAAGGGGGCCGAGAGACCCCCGATCCCCGACTATCTGAGAAGCGCCTTTCTGCGCCCGCCGTGGAATTTCTCTCCCTCTCGAAGCGCGCTTAGGATCGCCGCCCGTGTTGGCCGACCCTCCGGATTGTCCCTTTAAGGTAATTGAGCCACTGGCTTTTTTTTTCCAGACCGTAACCCAGCAAGGGGTTGCCAGGTCTGCTTCCAAAAAATAGCGGACAAGGGGGGGGGGTTTAAGTAGTAAAAAAAAAGTAAAAAATATTCGATCTTTGTCTCATTCTAACTTATGAAAAAAAAAGACAAAACGCGATTCTCCTATCCTTATTCTCTTAGACCAGGGGTAGGCAACCTTGGCTCTTTTATGACTCGTGGACTTCAATTCCCAGAATTCCTGAGCCAGCATGGGGGAACTATGGCCCCTTCATAACTCATGGACTTCAACTCCCAGAATTCCTGAGCAGGAATTGTAGACATCTGCCCACCAGGCTTTCAGGCATTTCATCAGCCGAGGACCCGGGGTAGGGGCGGGGGGGTAGCGGTCATTATAAGGGAGGGCCTTTGTCCTAGGGAGACCACTGTGCCTCAGATAGACGGCGTGGAGTCCCTCCTTGTGAAATGGGGGCTAGGGGTACAAGTGGGCTTGCTGATTATATACCTGGCTCCNTGTAACCTGAGGATTATTTGTAGTGGCAAGATTCCATGTACTATTACAGTGATGGGGAACCTTTCAGAAACTGAGTGCCCAAACCGCAACCCAAAACCCACTTATTTATCGCAGTGCCAGGGCCACATCAGCATTGTGGTGCCCTCGGGGGGAGGGGGGAGGGGCATGGCCCACTGGGTGGGTGTGACTGCGATGGTCACGGAAGACTGGGTGGGCGTGGCTGCGGTGGGCATGGCCATCTCGATGTTGCTCATGGGGGAGGACGCCAGTGAGTGCCGGGCAGGGTTGGGGGAGATCCAGGGGGTCTCTGGTGGGTGGGGTGGTGGGCAGGAGGCTCATCCTGCAGGGTGAGGCAGCGGGCAGGGTGGGGGTGCCATTGCCCCAGGGCAAGGCAAGGCAGGGGCCGGGGCGGCTGCTGTCTGACACCATCAGCCCCCACACACAGAGGCCAGCGAACAGTGTCTATCAGCAGCCATAGCCTGCCGGCCCCTCAAACGGCGCACACTGGGGCTCCGCAGTCTGCTGCCAATACCGGGCCAGCCCTCCAGCAGCAGGTGGAGCAGGGGAGGGGGGAGGCACGTGATGCAGACCGCCGGACGTGTCTACTCCGTCCCATCTGTTTTTGCTTGGGGTTGGAGAGCAGGTCACTGCTGGTCATCTTGGCCCCCTCGCAGATCTTGTCCTTGGCCCACGCATGGAATCTGTACCCCTCACGCACCTGACACACCTTGGCCCCGCCTCGGGCCGCTGTGGTGGCCTAATGGACCTGCATGAGCTGCTGGTGGCAGCAGCGTGCGTGCCCACAAAGAGGGCTCTGAGTGCCACCTCTGGCACACGTACCATAGATTCGCCACCACTGTACTATTAAACCTTTTTAAAAAAAAACAAATGGTGATCATGCATATATTTATACAGACGTCTTGGTGTATGTGTTGGATTTTTTTTAGAAGAACCTAACAAGAGAGTAACCAAAGGGGTTGTAGTTTTCTTGGGTCAATGAGCCATTCAGATCTGAAACTTGTTCATTCATATTTCTCTACTCACTTCATTGAAAGGATACCCTAAATCAGAGGTCCCCAACCTTTGGGGCACCAGGGACCAGTTCCGTGGAGAGAGCTTTTTCCACGGACCGAAGGGTGCATGGTTTTGTGTGTTGCCTGCATCCTGTGGATGGGGCTTTGCTTGTTTGTGTGGACTGGTTGCTTGCATGCCACGGCCCGGGACTGGTTCATGGACCGGAGGTTGGGAACCGCTGCCATAAATGATTCAGAGCAGAGGTGGGCATCGTATTTACAGTCATAGATCTCATGGTAGGAAAGCCACCAAACCTGGTCTGCAGAAATCCAGAGGAGCATTGTTCATATTTGTGCCTTCAAGTCATTGTTGACTCCTGGTGACTGCTTAGAGCAGGGGTAGGCAACCTTGGCTCTTTTATGACTCGTGGACTATGCTGGCTCAGGAATTCTGGGAGTTGAAGTCCACGAGTCATAAAAGAGCCAAGGTTGCCTACCCCTGGCCTAGAGAAATCCCTACACTTTTTTTGGGCAAGATTTCAGAAGTGGTTTGCCATTACCTCCCTCGCAGGGCTGAGTGAAAAAAACTGGCTCAAGGTTACCCAGGTAGCTTTGTTCCTAACCTGGAAGTAGAACTCACAGTCTCCCAGTTTCTATCCTGGTGCCGTAAGCCACAACTGTACATCAACCTGGCTCTCTTTATCCCAATTTTTGCAGCCCAATTCCAAAGAAGGAATGAGGACGTCATCAGATGTGCAGAGAGCCACAGAGATGGCCTTAGAGAAATTAAACAGAGGTGGTTGCAACAACATGTATAAAAACATGTTCTAATCCTGGGAAACAAATCAAACATTAGGAAGGAGCTCAGATTGGCTCCACCCTCATTCCCTAGGAGATTAGAGGGAAGAGAAGGAAAAACACAATCAGGCTTTCAAGATTCTGTTACTATAGCTTAAATCAATAAATTATACTGCTAGCCAAACTTGGGAAAACCAGTTTCCTCATCTGAAAGGACTGGCAAACTGGAATCATCTGGGTTGGTTTCTCTCCCCCCCCCCCCGAGGTTTGGTAGCAATTGATTGATTGAGGAAAAGTTTATTCCTTTTTATACGGCATCAAATCTGCTTGAGGATTTCGACCCCATTTTGCAACAGGATGCAGTAATTGGACTTTTGGAATTATAGGAACGTGTGCATTTACACACGCACACATCATTACTTATAATTTGTATAATCTCCTCTCTCTATGTATGTGTGTATGTATGATTGTTTTTTTTTTTAAAAAAGGGAAATATAAGACCAATTCTATCACTTCTGGCCGCAGAACTAGCCCAGATTTACTAAAAAGCTCAACTCCTGGGAAGATAGTGAAAACTGCCTTGATTATTGAGGAAGATCCCAATCGGAAGGGGGCCGAGAGACCCCCGATCCCCGACTATCTGAGAAGCGCCTTTCTGCGCCCGCCGTGGAATTTCTCTCCCTCTCGAAGCGCGCTTAGGATCGCCGCCCGTGTTGGCCGAACCTCCGGATTGTCCCTTTAAGGTAATTGAGCCACTGGCTTTTTTTTTTCCAGACTGTAACCCAGCAAGGGGTTGCCAGGTCTGCTTCCAAAAAATAGCGGACAAGGGGGGGGGGGTTAAGTAGTAAAAAAAAAAGTAAAAAATATTCGATCTTTGTCTCATTCTAACTTATGAAAAAAAAAGACAAAACGCGATTCTCCT